AAGAAAGAAAGAAAGAAAGAAAGAAAGAAAGAAAGAAAGAAAGAAAGGCAGTAAGGACCAGAATTTCAGGTCATTCTTAAGTATATATTGACTTGGAGGCTAGCCTGAACTACATGAGACCCTGAACCACATGGTCTACTCCAGACCAGCCAGGGCTACATAGGAAGATCCTGTCTTTAAAAAAATCAATAAATAAAATTGCCCGAGGGCTGGAGAGATGGCTCAGGAGTTAAGAGCACAGGTTGCTCTTCCAGAGGTCCAGATCCCAATGACCACATGCTGGGTCATAACCATCAAGAGTGAGATCTGGTGCCCTCTTCTGGCATGCAGGCACACATGCAGGCAGAACACTGTATACATAATAAATTGCTGGAGGTGTTAGAATGGCCTCAACATTTAAGATCACTGGTTGCTCATCCAGAGAACCTAGGTTGGATTCCCAGCACCCCCACTGTGGCTCACAACCATCTGTAACTACAGTCCCAGGGGATCTGCTGCCCTTTTCAGGCCTCCGGCGGCACCAGGCATGCACACACAGATCTGCATGCAAGCAGAACATCCATATTCATAAATAATTTTTAAAACACGGTTCTTCAGATTAGGTTTTCCACATTATATCTTGAAACAAGTACCAGTGAGATCTCTACAGCTCCATAGTTTTGGTGGTGTGCTCTCTCCAGGATGATCTGAGAACTCAGCTGAGGGCCTGTACAGGCACAGTAGCTTTTGTTTTGCTTTGTTTTGGGGGTAGGGGTTCATGTAGCCTGGGCTTGAGGTTTCTGTAGCTGAGATTGACCCTGAACTAATTCTCTTGCCCCTATGACTTAAGTGCTGAGATTGTAAGCATGTACCACCTTACCCAGATTGGGACAGAAGGCCTATACATACTAGAAAGGGTATGATATGCAGCTCAGTGGTAGAACTCTTGTTCAGCATGTGTAAGGTCCTAGGTCTTATGTATGTGTGTATGTATATATGAACTCTTTTAAGGCTTACAGTCTATATGATCATATAGCTCCAAAAAGAACATTCAGAGACATAAGGGCAAGTTGAATGTGGTGTGGTGTTGGGAGCAGATGTCCCAAGGAAGGGACATCAGTTATAGTTCAGTTAGTGACTAAGGTGACTGAGATATAGTCACTAACTGTATCACAGGCACATGGAGTAATGTCTGAAAAATAAACAACTGATGGGTACAGCATATGTATTAGAGGAAACAGTATGGGATTAATAGTATGTAGCTGCTCTGCCATTAAGTTCTAAGACAGGCTGGAGACAGGAAAAAATTTGGTGTCAAGACAATAATTCCTTGAAAGTCAGGCTACTAAACTAGAATGGAGACCCTGAGAGTGGAGGAAAGAAGTCTCAAGGGGGAGGGTAACAGAATGCATGAGACAGGAAATGGGAGGGAAATGGGGATAAGAAAAAGGGATGAAAGCAGAGGGTGGATGGACTGAGGGAGGGTGCATGATGAGGATCAATAAGAACAATGTGTGTATGAAAACGCAATAATGAAGCCCATTATGTTGTATGTTAACTTAAAAACTTACTGAAAAAACACCATAACAATTTCAAAAATAAAAATTTTTCAAAAAAACAGAAAGGCTAATATGTTATTATGAGCATGTTAAAGAAGCCATAGAGAGGTTCATATTCACTATGGAAACAAGTCTGTTATTACTTGTAACTGAAAATGAAAAGGAATCTTTATTATAATATAAAGAGAATCTTTAAGGTATAAAAGCATTCAGAGTTCCCTTAATTTCTACTAACAAATGACTGCCCAGTTTCACCTTTACACCCTCAGTCTAGCAACTGGCCCCACATACAGATTTTATTTTATTTTATTTTAAACAAGACTTTGGTATGTGCATTCTTTTTCTTTAAGATTTATTTATTGTTTATACAGTGTTCTGCCATACACAGCAGAAGAGGACACCAGATCTCACTATAGATGGTTGTAAGCCACCATGTGGTTGCTGGGAATTGAACTCAGGATCTTTGGAAGAGCAACCAGTGTTCTTAACCTCTGAGCCGTCTCTCCAGCCCCAGATTTTATTTTTTAAGACAGAGTCTTTACCAGCCAGGTGTAATGGTGCATTCCTTTAATCCCAGCACTTGGGAAGCAGATGCAGGCAGATCTCTGAGTTTGAGGCCAGCCTGGTCTACACAGGGAATAGACAGCTATATAGTGAGACCCTTTCTGAAAATTACCAAAAACAGAAAACAACTAAACAAACTAAAACCCAAAATAAAACAAAAACAAAGGTATTCACTCCTAATCACAGAATTTTAAAATAATAAATATGGCAAAAGTGGGGAAAGCGTCCTTATTCATCCCTCACACCCTCAAATCCTACAAAAAACAAAACAAAACAAAACAAAAAACCCTACATGCTTCTTATACTGTTCCCTTGACTATATATATCAGAGGGGCCCCTAGGTTCTAACAGGATCCCAGACTTTAACCCAACTGATGTCATGTTTCAGATACCATTCTGCCCTTAAAACCCAGCACATAGGCCCCAACGCCTGCCAAAATGGAAACAAAGACATAGTCCTTAGTTTCCAGAAAGTCCTCAATGTACTAATCTTGCTTTTTTGCTTCTGTAGTTCTGCTTCTTGCTAACTGAAGTATGCCAACCTAAATGGTTTTTGTATATAAAAGACAAAGAGTAGTAAGGCTCAGGACTACATGATTTGGGCAAGCTGCCTTTGAAGCCATTAGGCAACAATAAAGGCTCTCTTTTTTGGCTGTAAGAGTGTCCTGTGATGGTCTCTGGTAGGCTTACTCAAACCAGGTTCTCAACCTTTTTCTTCTCAGAAACCCAAAGATGGCACAATTCACTATCAATGAGGATAGTCCCCCAAACACCTAAGCTTCTGAGTTTCTTAACTTCCTCTCCACCTGTTTTTCACCCATGCCTACAGATCTGTTGTCACAGGTATTCATACACACGCATCATCTGTGTCCTTATTGCTATTTTATTTTGGAGACAAGTGGTGCATTCTAGTGAAATCTAATTTAGTAAAGTTCCCTGAAAAAAGCCACATCTGTATTGAAAATCCTGCAGACCTCTGGGCTTATTAGAACACTATGATTATAGAAAGACACTGCAGATCGATGATGACATTTATCTTATGCTACATTTGCCCTTCCCCCTTTGAATTGGGCTTTCATTCAGTAGTAACCTAGGCTGGGTGTGAACTCACTGTGTAACACAAACTCTGGATCCTTCTGCTCTCATGTCCTTTGTGGTAGGATTCCAGGCATGAGCCACCACACTTAGGCTTAGCTCCTTTGATAGCCACTAGTTATCAAGCTCTGGTTTTGACCTAACATCTTCAACTACTGGGCAAAACCTGTGGTGTATTACAAACATAGCAGAGTAACTTCAATAAAGCAAAGCTACAAAGATTAATATCTAAAACCTGTGTATTTTCCTTTGATGTAACCTGCCTATCTGAAGTTCCTGCATAAAAGGTGTGGATAAGTGGACCAATTTATGGCTTTCTTTTGTTCTGTGGCTATAAAAGTTCATGCTGTCATAGTGAAATGTGCCTGTCAGAAAAACCTGAATTCATGTGCTCAGGCCTGTGATCATTCATACAGAGCTCAGAATAAACCCTCAGTTCCTTTTGGAGCAAGAGCTATACTTTGCATTCATATTTCTCACAGCATTTCCCTCCTTGGCTGCCGGCCTTCATTGTTTTGACTCTGTGGTGTGTCACTGCCATCCCTGGCCTCTCTTTTGTCACACTCTGACAGCACAGTGACTCACGGCCTTCTCTAAGCTGCATCCCTACAGATCCCTGTGAGAAGCAAGGACAGTCACTTCACAGTAAGAGTTTGAGAGACTCAGAACAGCAAAAGTAAAACAGTATATTTCACAACCAGGCAAAGTCAGGCTTTAGACTAGAGTACGAGAAAATTGAGTAGCTTGTATATTTGGCATAAAAGTGCTTTTTAAAGTACTCCTAATTTCATTTCTTCTCTCCCTTTGGTTCCTTTTTACTTGAGTTTTTTAGATTGTTAGAATCTTCCCGGTGTTCAGTGTTGATCCCTCCCTCAGGTATCTCATCTATTAATGGGGATTATCAGTCTGTAGAAACTTTTCAATCCTAGGATAAACTGAGTATCGAGACAAGGAGTCACTGGCTGCCAGCTAAGAAAGATCGGGGCTTAGTGCCTTCTGCTTAGCCGTGCTTTTCTAAGTGTATCTTAATGGGCATAGTAAAAAAAAAAAAAAAAAAAAAAGCTTTTCAGTCAGGAACCTCACTTTGCCAGAGGCTGCACCTGAGAACTCAGTGACATCACTCAGTCATGATAACCAGAGTCCTAGAACACCCTGATACCCATTGGACAGGATATAAGCAAAGACCAAGACAAATGGTTTGCTCTGAACACCTGAAGAGAAGAGACCACCTTGATCTGCCCTGAGACTGGAGGGTCTCCCCCATGACCCTGACCTTGGATTCAGAGACTTTTGTTACACTGGACCTGACCTTCAGCTAAGATAAGTGGCGCAGGTGAGCAGTCTCTGGGAAACAGGCTTAGGACAATAGTTAGGAATTTAGAGCGTGAATCATGCGTGATGACCCTCAGCATAAAATGTAACTTGTTATACTAACTACACATATCTACCTTCTTTTGTTCACCACGATCTCATACTGAAAATGTACCATAATGATTTATTTCCTACACCCCAAACCTCAAGAGTTCTCAGAATCTGCAAACAGCCGGTCTAATGCCCTTCTCTTCTGGACCATTTTATTCGAGATAGAGGGAAGGCAAAAAGGCAGGCAGGCTGTAAATCTGCCCGTGATTACCGTGTTCTGGGATTAAGGCTGTGGGCCACCATGCCCAGCTTTATTTCTACTTTTTTTTTTTTTTTTTTTTTTTTTTTTTGAGATCGAGCTCTCGCTAGGTAACTCAACAGGCCTTCAACAGTGAGGCGATTTTCCTGCAAGTTTCCCGTTTAGCAGAACTAGAAGAGCCCGCTACCTCAGTCATATTTTCGTCATCACTTGGACGTTAAACTTTTAAAGGGTTCTCCACGGGAAATGACGTGATTCTAGAAGTTCTTGAACCTGAGGAAGAGATACTCGTTGCAGACACAGGGCGTAAACAAAGCGCTGGAGCACGGACACGTCTCGGGAATTGGCGGAGGGACCACCTGGAGGAAACCGAACTTAGTACAGCCCCAAGCAAACCAAAGGAATCCGCCGAAGTCTCAGAAGACTTCCGCCCGGCAGTTTCCAAGATTGCGCAAGCGCCGCGCAGCGCGTCACAACAGCGACGGCCCCTCAGTGCGCAGGCGCGGCTCACGCCGTTCTACTCGCCGGCTCAGAGGCTGTGACGTCAGATGCGGGCATAGGTGGTCCACGAGCGCCAGCCTCAGCTGCTTAGGCCTCAGCTGCTTAGGCCTCAGCTGCTTAGGCCTCAAACTGACGCAGCGTCGACCGGTCGCTCTCCCCCGCCAGCCGCAGTGCGGGCCCGGGCAGGCACCGTCCCCCTCCCCACGCGTCACGTCGCCCTCACTTCCGCGTCGCTGGTTTCCGGTTACCGCCATCTTCCGCGCGCGGAAGCCGGCTCCTAGGTGGGAGCTCCATAGCGAGTGCACTGTGTAGTGCGGTCGGTGCCATGCCGTCATCGCCGCTGCGGGTGGCGGTGGTGTGCTCGAGTAACCAGAATCGGAGCATGGAGGCACACAACATCCTCAGGTAGTGCAAGCTCCGCCTGCCCTCCGTCCCTCCCTCCTTTTCTTCCCACAGATTCTTGTCCAGACCCTGACCCTACACTGACCGAAGGTCGGGCCACGCCCGACTAACACGCTCCTCGATCCCTCAGAGCGATCCGTGCGCGCGACGCCCTCATGTAGGGTAAGGATTACAGCGAAATCGATTTGAGAACCGAAATGTTCTTGGTCCCAGGAGCGTCATTCCCTGTAAGTCCTAGAGATGGCGTGCTGTTTGCGGCCTGTCTGCACACTCGCTTTGTGTCTGACAGCTGGCGGCCTCTGGGTACCACGAGCGAGGCCAAGGTCTTCCAGGATGCGAATGGTGCCCGACGGTTGTCTTTCCCGTGTGTGTCGTCATGCCACATTCACTGGAAAGTTCTCAACATACCAAGATCGAACGAGTCAGGAAGTAGCAACAGTGACCAAAGTTGTTGACGTCAGGAATTGAGCCTGTCTACGTTTGCACAAGCCACGACCCCCATAACTCTAGTCGGTAATTCTGGAACACACAAATTCATTCGGCTCAGGGGTACCACCTCGTATTTCTTTACGAATTTACCTGTGTCTAATAGGGCATTCCTCTTTTATAGTATTTTGTCTTCAAAATCTCGACAAAATGAGAAACTGACACATTGCATTACAGTTAAAATGTGGTCCTTTTTTTCCCCTGAGTTAACTTGTGCTTTTTGAAACTTTTCTAAATTTTCTTTTTTAACAGTTTCATTCCCTGCCACCACCACCACAAGACAGGGTCTCTGTAGTCCTGGAACTTGCTCTGTAGACCAGGTTGGCCTCAGACAGAGATTTGCCTGCCTCTGCCTCTGCCTCCCAAATGCTGGGATTAAAGGTGTGCTGCTGGCTTTGAACTCACTCTTTGACCTGCCTCCCTCCTGCTGGTCTTACTAATAGTAGTTTGCCACCATACCAAGCACTGTCTCATGTTTTCTTAGAGGGCCAGAGTGTTAGTTGCCCATCGTCTGTAAATTCTAAAATTTCATTCTTCCTGCTGTTTACCACACAGAGCTATAGTTCTCAACCTTCCTAATACTGAGACCCTTTAATACCATTCCTCATGTTGTGGTGACTCCCAGCCATAAAATTATTTTTGTTGCTACTTCATAATTGTAATTCTGCTACTTTTATGACTCACAAATATGTTTTCTGATGACCCCTGTGATAGGGTCATTAGCCAACCACTGTCAGACTATAATCTTTACTTAGCTTTGTTTGTTAGTTTTGCAGGTGGTGGCGTGCTTTGAATTTAAGCAGTATACACAATATACAGGCTACACAGTGGAAAGCTAGGGGCTCTAAGCCCCCATATCAAAAGGGGGTTAGGATGTCCTACTTCAGCTTGTATCCTTCTGGATAGGTCCCTTACCCTTAACCTTTCTCCTCTCTTTTTGCTGTCTTGACCAGAGTGGCCTTGAACTAAAATTTATCTTGCCTCTGTGTGCTAGGATTATAAGGTTATGATGCTGTGCCTGACCTTTTTGAGATGTCTGTACACACATACACTCAACAGAGATTTACAACTACTCTAGAACCTGCTCTTCTTGAGATACTGTGAACACTATTAGTTTTAAGTGTTCTTACACTTGTACCTGTGCCTGGAGGTAGAGCTTTGGTCTGTGTCATCCTCAGTAATTTGTCCACCTCCTTTGAGATAGGGTTTCTCAGTGAGTCTTGGGAATCAAACTCAGGTCCTCATGGTCGTGTGGCAAGCACTGTCCTGACCAGTCTTGCAGGACCCTTGGTCTCAGCTCACACTGTAGCTCAGGTTGAACTTGAGGTTTTGGCTTTCCTCTCCTGCTACAGCCCCCCAATTGATAGGATTATAAGTGTAATTTACTGTGTTCTCTTTTTTTTTCCTGAGGGTAACTACAAAACTGTCACTAATTAGAGATTCCATGCAACCATTGATTTTGTCACTCTTCCATTAGTAGACAGTGAGGGATTTTAAGTGGCAACTTCCTTGAGCTGGGTAAATATCTTTGCGAAGTGTTTGGTTACTATTTTGGTATAAATTTCTAGACATGTTAAGCCAAATGGCAGGCATGTTTCCCATTCTTACAGTTTTCAAGGGTGCCTTCAAGAATGGTACATGTTTACACAGTTCCCCTTGCCTCTCAATCTCAGAAGTCTTTATCTTTCTTAAAACCCAAAATAGAGCTGGCCATGTTGGCGCAGGCCTTTAATCCCAGCACTCAGGGAGGCAGAGGCAGGTGGATTGCTGTGAGTTCAAAGCCAGCCTGGTCTACAAAGAGTCCAGGATAGCTAAGGCTACACAGAGAAACCCTGTCTCAAAAAACCAAAAACAAACAAACAAAAGGACCTAAAATAGAAAAACTATTTTATTAAGTATACTTCAAGAGGACAATAGGCTGGGTGGTGGCGGTATACACTGATCCCAGCACTTGGAGGCAAAGGCAGGCAGATCTGTCTACAGGACAAGTTCTAGGACAGCCAGGGCTACACGGGCTATAGCTCAGAGGTAGAATATTCACTTAGTATGCCCAAGGTTATGGGTTCAGTCCTAGCACTTACAAACCAGAGGAAGAAGAAGCTGGGGGAAGGCATAGCTCAGTAGCAGGCTTGTGTATTGTGTACAAAGCCCTGGGTTTGATTCTTAACACCCTGTTAAAATGATTTGGTAACTCATGTCTGTAAACCTAGTACCTAGGAGGTAGAAGCAATAAAACTAGAAGTTTGTTATAATCATTGCAGGCCAGCACGGGCTACATGGGACCCTATCTAAGGCTTCTCTGAGTATTTGTAAGTAAGTCCCAGAGTAGGAGAAACAAGCTTTAGAGAGCTGGTCTGGTGAGTCTTTCTGCCAGAGTACTTTCTTTAAGCCATTTAAGTTTCTCTTGTGTGTGCCTGTTCCTCCAGGTGGGGTGGGTGTGTGGAGGCCAGAGCTTGATGTCACATCTTCTCTTGCTCTCCACCATATATTTTGAGACAGTCTCCTTGAATTTGGAGCTCACTAATTAGGTATACTGGCTGATAGCTAACTCCAGGTTACTGCTATCTCCACCTTTCCCATGCTAAGATAACAGCTAAACATCATAGCCAGTTATTTTGTTGGTTTAGGTTTGTTTGTTTGTTTTTTGAGACAGGGTTTCTCTGTGTAGCCTTAGCTGTCCTGGACTTGCTTTGTAGACCAGGTTGGCTTTGAACTCACAGACATCTGGCAGCCTCTGCCTCCTAGAGTGCTGGCGTTATAGTCGTGGCCACCATGCCCTGCTGGTTTAGTTTATTTAAGTATATTTTTCTTCCTTTTTTGTTTTGTTTTGAGATAGAGTTTCTCTGTGTAGCCATGGCTGTCCTGGAACTCATTCTGTGGATCAGGATGGCCTCAAACTCAGAGATTTGTTTTGCCTCCTGAGTGCTGGGGTTAAAGGTCTATGCTGCTGCCACCACCCAACTTGTTATTTATTTTCTTAATGTTATATGTATCATTGTTTTTTCTGCTTGTGTGTCTGTACTGTGGGCATGTAGTGCCCATGGGAGGAAATAGGAGCCTGAGAAGAATCCAGTGAATTAGAGAAAAGGAGTTAACTATGGTTCCGTAAGTTAAGTCCTTGATTGGCAGGAGGCTCTAGAGTTCCAATTTCATAGTGAGCACATGTCCTGGGCCACACTGAAAGAGAGACTGCAGATGAGATTAAGTCTTAGGGCCACCAGAGTTGTGCCATCCAGTAACTGGTAGTAAACAACACAGGGTTTGGACATGACCACTCTGAGGCGCCATGAGTGTCTCTCTGTTTTTAAGCTGTGTTATTCATAGTCTTTTACATGGAGGGGGATAAACTGTCTCTCCTGGGTGGTTTTGATCCTAGGTATACTACTGTAAAGAAATGACCTGGAGGGGCTGGGGGGATGCCTCAGGGTTAAGAGCACTGAGGTTCTGAGTTCAGTTCCCAGTGGCCACATGATGGCTCATGGCCATGTATAATGAGATCTGGCGCCCTCTTCTGGCATGCAAGTGTATATGCAGACAGAACATTGCATGCATAATAAGTAAGTCTTTTTTTATTTTTTTTCTTTCCATTTTTAAAATTGTTTATTAATCACACTTTATTCACTTTGTATTCCCCCCGTGGCCCCCTTCCTCCTCCCCTCCCAACCCTACCCTTCCTCCCCTTTCTCCACACATGCCCAAGTCCACTGATAGGGGAGGTCTTCGTCTCCTTCCATCTGATCCTAGTCTTTCAGGTCTCATCAGGAGTAGCTGCACTGTCTTCCCCTGTGGCCTGGTAAGGTTGCTCCCCATTGGGGGTAGGTGATCAAAGAGCAGGCCAATCAGTTCATGTCAGAGACAGTCCCTGTTCCCATTACTAGGGAACCCACTTGGACACTGAACTGTCATGGGCTACATCTGTGCAGGGGTTCTAGTTTATCTCCATCAATTGTTCTTGGTTGGAGTATCAGTCTCAGAAAAGACCCCTGTGTCCAGATTTTATGGTTGTGTTGCTCTCCTTGTGGAGCTCCTGTCCTCTCCAGGTCTTATTATTTCCTACTTCTTTCATGAAATTCCCTGCACTCTGCCCAAAGTTGGCCATAAGTCTCAGCATCTGCTTTGATACCCTGTAGGGGAGAGTCTTTCAGAGGCCCTCTGTGGCAGGTTCCTGTACTGTTCCCTGTTTTCTCCTTCTGATATCTATCCTCTTTGCCTTTCTTTATGGGGTTTGAGCATTTAGCCAGAGTCCTCCTTCCTGATTAGTTTCTTTAAGTGTACAGATTTTAGTAGGTGTATCCTATATGTCTAATATCCACTTATGAGTGAGTATATACCCTGTGTGTCTTTTTGCTTCTGGGATACCTCACTCAGGATGATCTTTTCCAGTTCCCACCATTTAACTGCAAATTTCATGATTTATTGTCTTTTATTGCTGAATAATATTCCATTGTGTAGATGTACCACAATTTCTGTATCCATTCCTCAGTTGAGGGGCATCTGGGTTGTTTCCAGCTTCTGGC